ATGAATATGTTTCCTTTAACAAAAATTGCAAGGGGAATCTGTAGCTTAAAGATTTATCTTTGTGAAAAGGCTATCAACAGATTGGAAGAAAAAGTTTGTAAATCATATCATCTGATAAGGGACTTGTATACAGAAGATATAAAGCAATCTTACAGTTCAATAAGGACATCCGGTACACCTCTGTAGGGTAAGCACTAGACTGTGAACACAAGGTGTGTGGTTTGAGCCCACCATTCTCTCCTCGGGAGGAAGATGAGGCATTCTGCTATGGCAAAGACTGACGGCCTTGGAAACCCTACACAGGGTAATTAACAAGGACAAACCACCACATTTTTAAAAGGGTGAAAACTCTGAACACATATTTCTCTAAAGATATATAAATGGCCAAAAGCACATAAAAAGATGATCAGCATCATCAGCATGGGGAGAGGGGGGCAGTAACTCAAAACCACAATGAGATACCATTTCACTTGTTAAGCGCTACGGAGTCATTTTCCAACTCATGGCAACCCTGTATTGGGTTTCCAAGCAGCAGCTGGTGAGTCTGAATCACCAAACTTGGGGTTCAAACTGGCCATGCAGTCCAGTGCTTATCCTACAGTGCCAAGCTAGGCCTGAAGCAGGATAGTTATAGGCAGACAATCCAAGAGTTGGCAAGAATATAGAGCACTCGTACCTTGCTGGTGGGAATATACAATACTGTGGTCACTTTGGAAAACAGTCTGTCAGTTCCTCAAACAATTAAGTATAAAGTTACCATTTGTTGTTGTTAAGTGCCATTGAGTCCCTTACAACACATAGCAACCCTAGAGGGTTTCCGAGGAGCAGCTGGTGAGTTTGAGTTGCATATCTTGCAGTTCAAACTAACCTTGTAGTCGAGTGCTTATCCTACAGCGCCACACTAGGACTCCTAAAGTTACCATGTTGTTGTTATGTGCCATCGAGTCGGTTCTGACCCATAGCGACCCTGCATAGGGTTTCCAAGGAGCAGCTGTGAGCTTGAACAGTCAACCGTGCAGTTCAAACGGCTTTACAGTCTGGTGCATTAACCCACAGCGTCACACCAGGAATCGTAAGTTACCATTGTAGTTGTTGTTGTTGTTTGGTGCCATTGAGTTGGTACCCACTCATAGTGACCATACGCACAGCAGAACGAAAGTTACCATAAAATTGTGGGGTTCCACAATTTTAGCATTGTAGGATAAGCACTGGACTGCAAGGTTGGTTTGAAAAATGTACTAAGAAGCCAGACACAAAAGTACTATATAGTGTATGATTCTATTTACACGAAATGTCCAGAAGAGGCAAATCCAAACAGAGAAAGCAGATTAGTGGTTTTTACCAGGAACCATAGGGAGGAAGGCACACAGTGCTGTAAACGATGTGGGTGGCAGGTGGCAATGACGGCTGCACAGCACTGCGAATGTATTAAAGGCCACTGAATTGTAAAAAAAAAGCAGATAAAGAGAATAAAACAGATATACTGCCAACTCGCAGTTTTCCAAACTTTCTTAGATCCTGAATTTACCCAATACACTATAAAATTAATATATAAAGCAATCACAGAAATCCAAACACTAACTGGATATTTGCTGACATTAAAGGATTACTAATTACTTGGAGTCCTAGCGTAGTGCTGTGGGTTAATGCGCTGGACTGCAAAGTCAGTTGGAATTGCAAGGTCGATGGTTCAAGCTCACAAGCTGCTCATCAGAAACCCTATATAGGGTTACTGTGGGTTGGAATCGACTCAATGACACTTAACAACAATTTTATAAATACGATCATGGAATTCAGTTACAAAAAAAAAAGGAGTTCCTATATTTTACAGGGAGTCCTGGTATGGCACTATGGGCTAATGTGTCAGACTGCAAAGTCATTTGAACTGCAAGATCGGTGGTTCAAGCTCACCAACTGCTCCTTGGAAATCCTATACAGGGTCACTATGGGTCAGAATCGACTTGATGGCACTTAACAACAACAACAACCTGGTGTAGCGCTGTAGGATCAGCACTGGACAACAAACCACAAGGTCCACAGTTCAAACCCACCAGGCACTCCTCAGAAACCCTATACAGAGTCACTATGAGTCAGAACTGATTCAATGGCACTTAACAACAATAACATATTTTAGACAGGATTCCTGGTGTGGTGCTGTAGGATAAGCACTCGACAGCAAAACATAAGGTCCTCAGTTCCAATCCTCCAGCAGCAACTTGGAAACCCTATACAGAGTTGCTATGAGTCATTAAGTACATGGGGACTACTAGACAAGGGGGTTTGAAAATGTTCATGGAAAAGCCAATGAAAAGGTAATGATATATTTCCACAAAGTTTTTGAAGCCCCCTCAAACTACTTTTCACATCTGTGATGTTTCAAATTTTCCATTATAAAGAAAAAGGAAAAAAAAAGAAAGGCAAAGCTTCTCCACAGTATTCTTTTACTTTGTGCTAGTTATCAAATGCAGGAGTAGGAAAGTCCCCTTTCAAATGAATTCTCAACAGTGTTGAAAATGCCTTGGACTTCCCCTTCCATCCAGAACAACCGCTTTTTCTGCCACAATTAGAATCTTTCTATAAGAAGACTCCTATCCTGAATGTTTTTTTTCCCTTAAAAAGTCCTTTATTGGTTTCCTTTAGAAATGTGTTTGGTCTGAGACTTAATAATTAAGAATCAAAGTAAAAAAACTTCCTTAGTTTTGATATTAAACTGCTCCTTAAAAACAAGCTGATCAGTTTCCCTAGGCTTGTCAATTTCACTTCCTCTTGGGATGAAGACAGATGAAAGAACTTTCCTTACTGTAAGCGTGTAACAAAGACTCCCTTATTGTTGTTAAGTGCCATCCAGTCAGTACCACCCATAGGGACCTTAAGCACTGCAGAATGAAGAAACACTGCCTAATCCTGGGCCAACCTCACAATTGTTGCCACACTTGAGTCCACCAATGCTGCCACTTGGCCAATCCATCTCGTTGGAGGTCTTCCTGTTTTTCTCTGACCCTCCACCCTACCAAACATGATATCCTTATCTAGCAACTGGTCCCTCCTGACAGTATGTCCAAAGTATGAGAGACGAAGTTAGGCCATCTTGGCCTCCAAAGAGCACTCTGGCTGCACTTCTTCCAAAACGGATCTATTGGTTCTTTTGGCAGCCCATAGCACTTTCAATATTCTCTTCCAACATCATAATTCAAAAGCATCAACTCTTCTATGGTTTTCCTTATTCACTGTCCAACTTTCATATGTTTATGAGGTTATTGAAAATACCAAGACTTGGGTCAGGCACACCTCAGTCCTCAGGCTGACATCTTGGCTCTTCAACACTTTAAAAAGGTCTTGTGCAGCAGATTTGCCTAATGCAATTCGTCGTCTGATCTCTTGACTGCTGCTTCCGCGAGTGTTGATAGTTGATCCAAGAAGAATGAAGTCCTTGACAACTTCAATCTTTTATCCGTTGATAAGAATGTTGTTTATTGGTCCAGTGGTGAGGATTTTAGTTTTCTTGTAAAGAAAACACAAAAAGACTCCTTGGGCACATTAAAAGAAAGAGATTTTTAGGGAGTGCCTAGCCCCAGCCCTTAACCTACAGCTGGGCCAAGAAACCATTCCACTGCCAAAGCCACATGGGCCAGACTGAAGCAAGGAAAGCTCTCAAATATCATATGAGAGGTGCAATACCAACCACTTAAAGAAACATGACGTCATTAAAACAAGCCTAGGAGGTAGGTACTGCTATTTACCCCCATTTTTCCAGGACTTATAGAATGGCCAGTGTAATTCATTACTATGGAAATCATTACAGTGTCTCCTGGGAAAGACAGCTTATCACATCCTGGTTGTACCATCCCTAACATTCAAGAAACCTTAATCAATCCCTCCTTTTGGTAACAGAAGCCTATCTTGCAAGAACCTTCCTCTTCCACCACAAACCCCCTCATAAGGACCATCCGTTTCACAAATCTTGCTTTTCAGTGGCAAAAATCAAAGACATTTAAGTTGAAGAGAAGGAAAAGAATCCAGAGACAACTTTCAAGGCCAGTCTCAATGTCCAGAAACCCCTCAGTGGAAAGCTAGGGCAGAGAGGGCTGGATGCTGGGATTTTCAGAAGCAATTCGACAGTGAGGGAAATGCAAGCAATAAGAGGCTAGGCGGTTCCTCCTAAGCAATACAAATCCAGCTGCCCATCTCGGGCAAGCTGAGATGCTTCCCTGAGTCACTCTATCTCCACATAGAACACCCAGGAATGACTTAGCACCACCACACCAAAAGGGCTCTTCAGAGAAGTCGGTAAACAGCAAGTCAGAGTCAAAGACACCAAACTTCAGAACACAGAGAACACCAACCTCCCCATTGCAGCCTCCCCCTCTTTCATCACCCTCTCCCCGGTGGGAAAAAGAAGGGAGAGACGACGACGGTCCCCAAATGAGCAAGAGGGGCAGGGCAGGAGAGACTCACAAGAGCTGGAACAAAAAATAGAAGGGGATGGAGCTTGCAGAAATACCCGGGATCACAGAGGAGCCAGACGTGGTCATTGGTCACTGGGGCGCAAGGGCCCAGGAATGAGAAACCGGAGAGACAAAGGGGCTAAGGAACCCAGTCCTTTGGGGACTAGGTGCTCCTGGGACATGGGGGTTCAGCGGTGTCTGCAGCCGCCTTTTGCCTGGGTGAAAACTGGAGCGACTGGGCAGCTGAAAGCTGGAACTGGGACTCAGGAGTCTGGGGGCGAGGAGGGATTGTGACAACTAGGTAGGGTCCGGTAACTGGGAGGGACTGGGGGACAAGGCGCTCGCTGTAACTGAAAGACAGGGGACTGGAGCTCCTGGGCTCGGATGCTCAGAGAACTGGAGGGGACCAGGAGCTAGGAACTAGGCTTCCAGGCGTCCAAGGGTCAGGACACTGGGAGAAAGCAAGACACGGGGACAGAGGGTACAAAGTGTGCAGATGGAGCGGCTGGAGCCAGGGCGACCGGGGCAGGTGACGGCGGCGGGGCGGCCACTCACCGCTCATGATGCCACTCCCGAGGCCGGTGCCCGCGCCTCCAACACTGCCGCCGCGGAGCTCCAGACAGGCCAGGAGACGGCGCCCGCTCGGCCCGCCCACCCCGCCCCGGAAATACAGTGCCGCTGCCAAGGCCCCGCCCCCTGACCCGGAATGTAAACACGGACTCCCGGCCCGGGGCCTTGGGGCAATCGGGGCTTGTGGGAGGACTGTCTCTGGTTGGCGCCGCACGCCCCACAACTCCCTAGAGCCTCTAAAGTCTGAGGAAGTGGGGCATGCAGGGCGTGATCCTGAGGAACTTAATTGAAGCCGCGCAGTGACCTGGTCCGAGCTAGGTTTTGGGATGCTCGCCATTGCTATAATTAGAAAGAATTGCGGAGGACTGGGTGAAGCTGGTCTGGGAGCTGTTGCTGTGGTCCAGATTAGAGACTGTACAGCCAGAATGCTCCTTAAATTCCAAGATGGCCAGACTCCATGTCTCATACTTTTGACATATTGACATTGACCCGTCCCTGGAGAAGGACATAATGCTTGATAAAATGGAGGGTCAGGGAAAAGAAGAAGACTCCCTACGAGATGGATTGGCACAGTGACAGCAGCAATGAGCTCAAACACCCGCCGCAATGACTGTGAGAATGTCATAGGACGGGGCAGTGTTTCATTCTGTTGTGCATAAGGTTGCTAGGAGCTGGAATCGACCTGGATTGCAAAGTCTGTTTGAACTACAAAGTCGCTGGTTCAACCTCACCAGCCGTACCTTGGAAACACAACCCAAGGTCGCTATGGGTTGGAACAGACGTGACGGGACTCAACAAGTGTTTTAACGGCTTTTGTATCTGGAACAAATTTAAATTCACATGGCAAATAGTGTACAAATATTTGTTAGGAACTGCCAATCAATCAATCACTTTTAAAAAGTCCATTTAAGACGCAAAGCAATATAATATTAAGGAGTTCTTGTACCGTAGTGGTTACGAATCAGGCAGCTAACCTCAGTTGAAGCGGAAGAAAGATGAGGCTTTCTGCTCCTGTAAAGATTTATAGCCTCGGAAACCCTGTAAAGGGTCGCTATGAGTCGGAACCTACTCCACGGCACATAACAACAACAGCAATATAATATTTCTAACCAGAAACTGCATGGATTAATAAAGACACGTTGTATCATTTGGTTTATTAAACTTTACCCAACTCACGCTGCCTTTTGGTAACAAAAAAACTTAAATCTCAAGGTATATGATTTTGCCATCACATCCTACTGAAATGGCACACAGATTTCCAGATAAGTTAATATTCAGGAAGAACCCATGAAGAACACACTGGCAAATCTGACAGGTTGTACTATTTAGACTACAAAAACTCCTGAATTAAGCTGAATAATTGGCAAGGAGTTACCAGAGAAATTTATTCTCTAACAATTCGTTGTCGTTATTGTTAAGTGCCATCTAGTCGGTTCCTACTCACAGCAACTGTGCATAGTGTTCACAAGGAGTGACTGGTGGGTTTTTAACTGCCAACATTGTGGTTCAGTGCATTATCCTGCAGCGCCATGTCAGGACATCCTGTAACAATTTATGGGCCTAAAAGTTCATATTCAGGGTGCCAGCTCGAAAGGAAGGCTTTTCTCTCTGTCAACTGTGGGGAAAGGTCCTGGTCTCCTTTCAGCAAATGTGGGCCCAGAATTCCTTGGAGATCTCCATGTAACTTGACATCAATCTTGCCCTGAATCTAGGAGGTTCTTAGTACAAGGATACCAAGTCCAAAGGATGTACTCTGCTCCAGGATCTTTCTTGGTGGTACTGAGGTCCCTCTCTCTGTCTCTTCACATCTCTCTTGTAAGATAAAAGCAATGCAGGTCACAGCCTGAGGGAAACTCTTAGATCAGATAGAGTTGTGACCTGAGTAAACATGTTGCATACCACCATAGTCTTGCCTCATTACCATAGCAGATATAACCAAATCCACATTCTTGTTAAGTGCCACCCATTCATCCCCAACTCCTAACAACCCTATACAGGGTTTTCAAGGAGGAACAGTTGGTAGGTTTCAACGGCCAACCTTGCGGTTAACAGCCCAGCTCATAATTCATTACATCACCAGGGTTCCTCCAAATCCTCATAGATCACCTCATTCTGCCTTATTAAGACATGCTGTGGTTGTTTAGTGCCATCGAGTCAGTTCCGACTCATAGCAACCCTGTGTAGGGTTTTTAAGGAGCAGCTGGTGGGTTTGAACTGCCAGCTTTGTGGTTAGAAGTCGAGCGCTGATCCTATTGCACCACACCAGGACTCACAAGAGTTCAGGATTTACAACACTTTACAAATGGAGGACAATGGTATCTAATCACACCATAGGATGATTACGTAATGATTTAACTGCCAAATCACTGAGCCTCATGGCCCAGCCAAGGTCATGCATATTTTTAGGAAACACAATTCAACCCATGACAGCAGCTGACACTAAGTGCTTAGGAACAGACAGGCTTAGACATTGTTTGCACATATTAATTCCTACAAGGTCACTATAAGTCCAAATTGACTGCACAGCAATTAAGAACAATAATCTTTAAAACAAACTTTGAAGTTGATTATTATTATTCCCATTTCACAGATGGGGAAACTGAGACATTGAGTTGTTAAGTAATTTTCCCATAGTCAACCAAGATCTACAGCTTCCTAGGAAGAGCCAGGAATCAACTCTGAGCAGTTAGACCCCAAGATCCAGTCTCTTAACCACTCTACTACAGTGTCTACTATAACCCAGAAGGGAGCCAAAAAGGCTAAGAGCCCTCATGGACGTTCCCCATATTCCAGACCTAGCACAATAACTGCAGAGCCCCAAGATCTTAAGGGTCTATGCCATGGTGTCAGTGGACATCTTAACAAAGTTAGCATGACCAGAAGACATCCCCTGTTTCATTGCCCTGCAGAAGACCCCAAGGCCTTTGTACAACCTTAAAGGAGGAACCCACCATAATGATTATAATCCAAAGAAATGGAATTAAATTAATATGAAAAGGAAAAAGAAAAATGGGTTATCCTAACTGACTGCCAATTATAGGCTGTGTTACCTTGTTCTACCTCAGGCTCTGCCATTCCTAGGGGGCTTGGAAAAATTCATGGGAAAATTACATGAAAATATAATGGAATTTTTATATTTCACAACCTTCTGAAGTCCCCTCATATCAATAAAACGGGAATAATGATGATCCACCAACCCGATAGTTTTCTATACCCATGGACGCTCTTAGAACAGAACCTGCATGGATGTGGAAGATAAAGGTAAGTTTCACAGTAACCACAAGAAAGTTAACGAACCTATTTGCCAAAATAACAAAGAAATTCCTAAGGACTTCCTAGACAGAAAAATAAAATAAATGAAAAGAAAATGCAAAAAGGGAATTTAGCGTAGAAAATTAAGCAGGACAAAGAAACCATCAACACCATAAAAGAAAATAAAAGCACAACAAAGTGGCAGGGGTACCAGGTCAGCGGTTCAAAACCACCAGCTGCTCCTTGGAAACCTTATACAGGATTGCTATGAGTTGGAACCAACTCAACAGCAACAACAACAAACAACAAACTAGTAAACTCATCTCTACTGGTAACCATGTTGTTGTTGTTGTTAAGTGCCATCGAGTCGGGTCCGACCCATAGCGGCATACTATGTGTAAATGGCTTAGGTGCACCAGTAAAAAGATAGAGTGGCAGAGTGGAGACAAGAGGCAACCCATCAATCTGCCATCTATAAAGGATGCACCTTGGGCAAAAAGATGTAAATAAACTAAAATACAAAGGACAGAAAAAAATATACCAAACAATCAATAACCTAAAAAGAGCAAGAGTGGCAATGCAAACCTCTGATAAAATGGACTTTGAGTTAAATTTCCCATAAAAGATAAAGAAGGATATTATATAATGATTGTTGTTGTTGTTGTTGTTGTTATATGCTGTGGAGTCGGTTCCGACTTTCTCGCCTCATCTTTCTCCCGTGGAACAGCTGGTAGTTTCGAACTGCTGACCTTGTGGTTTGCAGCCCGATTCGTAACCACTATGCTACCAGAGCTCCTTATATAATGATTAAAGGGTAAATAAACAAAAGGGTTGATAACCATAACAACTCCGGATGCACCCAATGACAGGGCTCAGAAGTGCAAGGAACAAACTCTTACAGCAGTAACAAGAAGAATGGACTCCCACGATAATAGTGGGAGACTCCGCACACAGTAGATTCAACTAAAAGTCTCTTTTATCAGTGCTAATTTTGTAGCGTAGTGGTTATGAATCGGGCTGTGAACCGCAAGGTCAGCAGTTCGACACTACCAGCGGTTCCACAGGAGAAAGATGAGGTGTTCTGCTCCCGTAAAGATTTACAGCCTCGGAAACCCTGGGCAGGGTTGCTATGAGTCGGAACTGACTCCACGGCACTTAACAACAACAATTTCATCTCTCATACTTCGGACCTATTGTCAGGAGGGACCAGTTGCAGGAGAAGGATATCACGTTTGGTAAGGTGGAGGGTCAGAGGAAAAGAGGAAGACCCCCAAGGAGATGGATTGGCCAAGTGGCAGCATCGATAGACTCAAGTGTGGCAACAGTAGTCAGGTTGGCTCAGGACTGGGCAGTGTTTCATTCTGCTGTGCATAAGGTCGCTATGAGTCGGCACTAACTCGAAGGCATCTAACAACAATTGTACACTGCCACACCAAGACTCCCAACAAAGATATAGGAGCCTTAAAGGCTACAATCAATGAAACTCAACATAGACATAGACATAACATTTCACTTTGTTGTTTTTAAGTGCCTTGTACAGGCTTTCCAAGGAGTGGCTGGTGGGTTTGAGTTGCCAACATTTCGTTTAGCAGTCCAGGGCTTATCATCCACTATATAGCAGCCAACTATTTGAGGAAGCTTCAAAAAGTTTGTAGAAAAATGGAATGGAAGGATGATAGAAAGTTTCCACGAACTTTTTTACAGCCCCCTCATACATCCTTTTCCAATACACACGGATCATGCTCCAAAACAGACCACATTTCAGGACACAAAGCAAGTCTCAACAAAATCCAAAACAATGAAATAATACCAAGCATTTTCTCTGATCTTAGTGCTTTAAAAGTCAAAACTGGGAAGAGGAAGAGCAAGGAAAAAAATCAAAGACAGGGAAACTGAGTAACACTTTCCTTAAAAGCCAGCGGGTTATAAAAGAAATCCAAGATGAATTTTTTAAAATCCTATAATCAAGCAAGAATGAAAATGTGTGGGAC